CAATGGCGTGTCCGTGGCGTGGCGTCAAAGATCAACTCTTCGCCATGACACGGAAGTTGTCGTAGCTTCAGTGTACATGCTCACATCTGGACCAAACTGTACATGTAGGATGAGAGTCCCGCCCTGAACACATGTACATGCTGATATTCACCCACAGTCATAGCGCCACCTGCTGGCAACAGGAAGTGACTTTTAACGAAGCAGCCCCGCCGCACGTTTCACCTACGTGCACAAATTTTCTGTGGTACGTGTATCTTGTCCAGACGCACAAAAAAGTCTCTTGGAGCCATAGCCTAAACCCAACAGGAAGTCGGCCATTTTGAATTTTACGTCAAATTTTGGATGATTTACACACTTCGTACTTTAACGAACTCCTCCTAGGGATTAAGTCCGACCGACCTCAAATTTCTGCTGTGCCTTCTAAAGGCATTGAAGATGAAAAGTTGTGCTATTTGCAAGTTTTCGTCAATGGGCGTGTCCGTGGCGTGGCGTCAAAGATCAGCTCTTCACCATGACACGGAAGTTGTCGTAACTTCAGTGTACATGCTCACATCTGCACCAAACTGTACATGTAGGATGAGAGTCCCGCCCTGAACACATGTACATGCTGACATTCACCCACAGTCATAGCGCCACCTGCTGGCAAAAGGAAGTGACTTTTAACGAAGCAGCCCCCGCCGCACGTTTCACCTACGTGCACGAATTTTCTGTGGTACGTGTATCTTGTCCAGACGCACAAAAAAGCCTCTCGGAGCGATGCCCTAAAATCAACAGGAAGTCGGCCATTTGAATTTTACGTCAAATTTTGGATGATTTACACACTTCGTACTTTAACGAACTCCTCCTAGGGATTTAGTCCGACCGACTTCAAATTTGTGCTGTGCCTTCTAAAGGCATTGAAGATGAAAGTTGTGCTATTTGCGAGTTTTCGTCAATGGGTGTGTCCGTGGCGTGGCGTCAAAGATCAAGTCTTCGCCATGACACAGGAAGTTGTTGTAACTTCAGTGTACATGCTAACATCTGAACCAAACTTTACGTGCTTGATAACTCTCCCCCCCGCTATGGAGGACCGATCCTGACACAGTCAGAAATAAATACAGAAATAAATAAATGCTCAATAAATAAATAAGCTTCCAATTAAATACACAAAAAAATAAAGTAAATAAATAAATGTTGGTATTAATTAAATTATACAAGGAGACATAAATGTATATATTTTAATTAGTGCCTTTACTTATTCACCTTTGTTATAATTACCTTATTTATTTATTCTCCCTTATAATCTCCAACTTTATTTATTACTAATTTTTTTAATATTTATTTATGTGTGTGTTTTAATATTTTTGTCTGTTTTATTCTTCCTTTGTATTTTCTACCTTATTTATTTTCACCCATGGTATTTATTTCTGCCTGTCCTTTTTAAATTTCTGTATGCATTTCTGACTCATTATGCAAATGAGGAGGGGCTGTGTCTCAAGGGGTCATCTTCTCTGCTATTGGTGGACCAGTCAGACAGGAGAGCTCTAGGCCTACTCTGCCTGCAGACATCAACGATCTTGCCCCTCACACAGTCAGATGGCTTCCTTCAGTGCGCTGAGGTGTTTAACAACTCTGAAGACACTACCAGCCATGTCTTCCTTCTCTTTTCACGTAGACGCTCCGACAGACAGTGCTTTCAGTTTGCTGCATGCATGGACACAGAACTGCGGTACAGCACACAGTAACGATGAAATGTGTGCTGTTATCACATTCTTCCTCTGTATGTACACATAAACAACAAGGCAGGGAAATATAAAAGGAATTTATTTTATTGTTTGGGTACATTATTGTTCAGTGTACATGCTCACATCTGAACCAAACTTTGCGTGCTTGATAACTCTCTGACCCCCAGACATCTACACGTCAATACCGATTTATATTCATAGCGGCAAGTGCTATGTAGCTCCACATAGGGGACACAGGAAGTGACATATAGCACCTTCATGCGGCGACATAACCGCGTAGGAAATTCACAGCCGCACCGGCAGAGCTCCAGAATATGCAACTCGGCCGGCTCACACGCGGACGCGCTTACAAGTGCGAGGGCCCGCCCAACGCTGCTTGCAGCTTTAATTTTGGTTATTACCGCTTTGAGTTTGAGTGTTTAATATACGTCCCATTTGACGTCCATTTGTAGTCTGTACTTCTTGATATGGAGCTTCTGGCACAATCGGCCTTCCATACATTTGGTCAGCAAATCCTTGTCTTGGCCTAACAACTGTGGTAGGATCAGGTACAGCAGGAAAATCATTTTCATGTGGGACAAAAGCTTTGACAAGAGGATCTAAACCAATGGACCTTTGAGCTTTGCTCCTCTCCAAATAAGAGTTCATTCCATCAGATCGTCTTGAACCGCACTGTGATGAGTTCATTTCTAAAACCTGAAGCCTTGCAGTTGTAGCTGCCAAATCCATTTCAAGCGCCAATTGCTCCTTTTCTCTACGAAGCCTTTCTTCCTGCGCTTCTATATGATGTTTCCTTTTTAAAGCTTCAGAGCGTTTAAGAAGAGCTGCTCTCTCGGCCTCCGCATTAATGCGCGCTGCAGATGTTGCAGAAGTCTTTGATATGCCAGTGGTACGTGATTTTACAGAACTTGCTTTTACACTTGTGACATTAGAAATACTGTCTTCAGGTTGTATTCCATCATCAACACATCCTGCGTCGATAAGTTCTTTTGGCTGTGAGTATGGACAACCAGCTTTAGAAGCCACTCCTTCACATCTTCAATAAATGCATGACATGATTTCATCTTCTCCTCAAAGGTTTTGGTTTTAGTGGTGAGTATTTCATCTTCTGGTAGAGGCAATTCCATGAATGTTTCATGTATATCGAGTGCTTCTTCATAACACTTAATGAACAAAGCGAGCTGAGTGTTCACCACGTCTGCATTTTCATTTAATTCCATTAGGGCACGGATTTTATCCATAAGCTTTTTAGCCTGGTTGATTTTTGCAGTACGTTTTTCTTGACAAGTTTTTATGTAAAAGCACATTCCTTTAAAAGTCAATTTGATTGACCGCTTTGATTCCGGCCTCTCCACATCAGTCATTTTGTTGCAAACTTGTAGCTTAATTGTTGATAATGTCCATGAAGGTTCACAATTGGGCAACAAGGTTAGCAAGGATAGCGATCTTTATCGTAACAACTTTGTTTTATAGAACCATCCTCTTCATCCACACAAGTGCACACAGCACTGGCTTTACACTTAATGTATAGGCCACCCGCAGGGTTGATGATTCAACAAACACAAGATCACGTACCTCTTCATAAACCGTTTTCCTATACAGCATTTTTTGAAGTACATACCAACTGGAGATTTTTTAGCTCGGGCAAGGCCTCTGTCTCATGCCAGCAGATAATCCACAAATGGTAAATAAAACAATCCCTTCTGATTTTCCATCGGGTATCCCAATAATATCCGAAGCGAATTCCAAGGAAAGTTCTTCTTTCTTTAATCCATGAGCGGTTTTTTACTTGATGTAGTGGCCGTTTGTCAACAAACAAAATAAAGTTAAACTTAAATCAAACCTTCAAACGACAACTTCTAGCACCCTGGGCAGGTAATGTACGCAGGCAAGAAATAAAATCAATTTCAAACTGGATTCAGGGTTTGTGGCTGGTTTATTTGTTCCAACTGAGCAAGCAATACAGCATCTCTCACGCTGGTAAAAAACCATGTGCCCATCACCCAGGTGCTGCCGCTCACTTCCTACTTCCTACCTATATTTACCCTCACCTGTGCCCACTACTGCCCTCAGGTGTCTAAATCAAACATTGCAATTATTAAACTAACCAAAAATAAAGACTAAACATATATAAAACAATTAACTAAACAAACAAACAAACAAAACATTATCAAATATGTATACATATATACGTATTTCTAATATAAACAAAATCATAATAATAATCAATTTAATTAACAAATTACCACTACTGAAAGCAAACTAATGTAGCTTCAACACATAGCAAGACCTCTAACCCATATTTGCAATCAGTCCCTACAAACTGGTGTCTTTCTAGATAAAATTAAATAGCTAAAGTAATACCAATATATAAACTGGAGACAAACTTATACTACACAACTACAGACCCATCTCATTGCTTCCACAGTTCTCCAAAATATTGGAAAAAATGTTCTTTATAAGGCTGGGTGATTTCACCGCCAAACATAATATTCTGTGTGAACAATATGGTTTCAGAGCTGACAGATCAGCTTCTTTTGCAATGATAGAATTTATAGAAAAAGTTACAAACGCAGGAAACAAAATGCAGTAGGAATATTTCTAGATCTCAAAAAAGCTATTGACACAAAGATCACAAATTATTGATTAAAAAACTACAAAGATATGGTATTAGAGGAATTGCACCGACATGGTTATCCAGTTACCTTGGAGAAGCTACTGGATACCATAGAAAAGGAAGTGGGGAAGATGAAGATTTGGTTTGATGAAAATAAACTAACACTGAATTTGAGTAAAACAAGATTTATAATATTTGGAAACCGATTAACCGACACAGAATATCAAAACATCATCATACGCTTACATGTAAACTTCTTTTTTCTTGTAGTTGCTCCTTCCATGTTTGTTTATCTTTCTTTTTAATGCTTCCGCTGGTAACCCTGTGTTTAACATGACTCTATGAACTGTGGGTAATTTCTTCAGGCAAAGTTTGCAGAGATGCAGAATTAAAGAAAGAGTGCATAAAGTGCACAAAAAGTCTTCGAGAGAGCCCTCATGCACTTGACAATTTTACACTGGGACAGCCTTAAGTCCTCACGGATTTACCGGGAGTGTGCCTCAAAGTCCGTGAGTGTAGAGACTGGGATTCAGCCAATGACTGAGTGATGAATCCAAATGTGCAGTACAAGCAAGTCACGCATGTCTGTGTATCAAACGCACACTTCTATAACTGTTGAACTATGAGGCCAACATTGCTCAGTTTATATTTTTGTTAAGGAGAGTCAGCCCATATCCAACTACCTGAGCTCCGAGATTCCTCAGGAGGTGAAGCAGAGGATAGCCAGGATGGGAGTGGACACGATGCTGAAGATGGTGAGATACATCCCCTGCTGGATATCAGTTGCATCTGATTTAATGATTCCCATTAATATTACTTCATAACGTGTGTGAATGTCTTCTTGTCTGTTACTGCATTTGTTCATGTGTGTTCTGTGTTGATGAGAGAAATTGTGATTATGTTTATATGTTTGATTATATTTGTCTGGTACATTGTCTCCATCTATATGTCTGCGTTCCAGGTTTTTGTGGACAACTTTGTCCACGGGGATCTCCATCCCGGAAACATTCTGGTCCAGTGTTGGGAGCCGGTTCCTGGTTCCAGGGACAGTGCTGCAGGTATCTCAGGGGAGGCCTATGGTAAGACCACACTCACTGACTTGTGGGACACAGTGGTGGTCAGCGTCAGGCCGGTCCCGTGTCCTCTTCAGCTGGTGCTGCTGGACGCCGGCATCGTAGCCCAGCTAAATGATCGTGATCTTGCCAACTTCAAGGCCGTCTTCACAGCTGTGGTCCTGTGTCAGGTAACGACGGGAAGGGTACATAGATGAAGACTTCCAGTACTAGTTTCACTGAAATTGTACATAGGAGTTCACACGAAATGTAATTTTTTTTAAATTCTCATATCAATAGTATTTTATTTTTATTTTTTTATTTATTTTTTTTACAGTAAATGGTTGGGATTGCTTCAACATATGAACAAAAAAATTGTTTTGGACTAACTGTCACTGTGGTTTTGATTTCCTTTCTTCAGGGTGAGCGAGTGGCAGAGTTGATCCTGAATCACGCTCGGGCCAATGAGTGCCAAGACGTGCCGCAGTTTAAGAAGGAAATGGCCCAGCTGGTGGACCATGCCCTCACCAACACCCTCTCTTTGGGAAAGGTACAAACCCAGATATGTGTTTTCTTATTGTGTCTGATTTGTGTTTCTGATGCAGGGCTGCGTGATGATGTGTAATAAATTGAATTTTGCCATCATTCTGTGATTGTTAATGTGATACTACACCATGGTCTGATATCCTTTCCTTCTGGTTTGTATTGTGTGCTCTATTTTGATTTAATAACTATTTGATTTTATTATTTTGTCTTAGCTTTCATGTTCTCATTGTGTATATGTAACTCAGCAGGAGGTATTTGACTATTCACAATGACTTACTGGCTGGTGAAAGTGACAGTGAAGAGTCACAGATTATTATTGGTGTGTTTTGTTGATAGTTTTTTGTTGATTTTACAGATCCAAGTTGGTGAATTGCTGTCCAAAGTCTTTGGTTTACTCATCAAACACAAGGTAGAATATCAGGTGGTTACATTCATGATGGTGAACAAACATGCATCTGGTTCAGAACACCACACTTAATCTTTAAGTGGTATTAAGACAGGTGACAACTCTGAATCACTGCTGTTGCTGTGGTCCCAATAAGGTTTTCTCAAGTATATAGCAGCACTTTTAAGTTTTAGTTTGAGGCAATTTAAGATTAAATCACTGCGCTCTTCTTTGCTCCATGTTGCTCCTAGGGAGGTCTAGCTTGCGAGGCTGCTGCTTTGTGGAGGCCACTGGTTAATGCTTTTTCAAAATGACAAAAACAGGAATAATTCAAAGTGAATCACAAGAAAACAAAAACTACAGGTGACCTAAACATATTTGAATCTTTTGTATATAGGACACAGTGTACTTGTAAGTAATGTAATGATAAACCGATTATACTGAACAGTCATTGTAATGGACCAAATAATGTTTTTTGCATCGGAGTTCCCCTCACTGATCAGCTGGTCAGCTCTGTGGTGATATAACAATATGTCACTTCCTGTTTAAAAGGATAAAAGCTTATTAAAATCCAGCAAAATCCACAGAAACAATCATGACGTGATAACTCTGTTGCAGAAAGGTGGTTGCTGAGCTATTAGTCTCATAAAAAGTGCTTGTTTACGCCTAGTTTTGTATTAAACTTGAAGGTTTGACCGACCAACAGTATGATCTTAAATGGTGCCATGATGTGATTGCTTGCTGATGTTGATGTCACTGATTGTTGTTGAAGGTGAAGCTGGAAAGTAATTTCGCCTCCATCGTGTTTGCCATCATGGTGCTAGAGGGTCTGGGCAGGTCACTCGATCCGAACTTGGACATCCTGGAATTGGCCAAACCCCTGCTGCTAAAGAACTGTTCCTCACTGCTCTGACACACATATACATAAACACAAGCACAGTGGGTCACACACAGAAAGGCACCTGTAAGTACACACACACACACACAGCTACTAAGCCCTATGTACTGTATACATCTATAGATTCGGTAGGCGTGTGTGTATACATTATGGGTTGTCTTCAAGCTTACAATGCAAGATTCCACTGTGGATAAGGAGATCACTCATCACTACATTTTACATTTTAGCAGTGCTGATTTAATAAATACCTAATTGAGTTTTACATTGGTGGAGTTACTGTTACTCTTAAATTGTATCATTTACTGTCTGTAGTACAAACATTTCGCCCACCGAAATCTACTTTTGTGCTAGTTTGTGCTTTACATGAGGCAACACTGGTTTTATTGAGTGCCAGTGGGGTCAGACACATTGGCATCACAGACCATTTGTAGTGATTTAAGATCTAAAAGAAAATACTGTGAACATCCCTAGTTGATACTCAAAGCATATTGTTTACTTTTAAATGACCAATACTGAGCTCAGAATGTATTTTATCAGTCCATATTTTAGTGCAGCTTAGATAATGTTGTCTAATGGACCATGTTTGCTTTAGTGTGAATCATAACGTACTGTAACATTTGTTCTTAGACACTACATTGACGATGTGAAGACTTTGGCAATTTGTACTCACAACTGAGCCATGTCTTTTAACTTTCTGTTACAATGGTGGGAACACTTGTATGAATTATCAATTTCAATAAAAAAGAGAATCTATACTAGAGAATCTATTGTTGTTCTTTTTCTTTTCTTTGTTGCCTCTAGTGACCAGTTGAAAGTTTTCTGACCCTTTTAGTGAGGCTGACTGATACAGCTTCGAAGCAGACAATTCACTACATCAGGGGCACGGGATCCATTAATTTACAATTTTATTAAATCTGTCAATGAAAAACACAGACAAGAGACGTGTTTCTGTCAATGTCATCAGGAAGAACAGTCAGCATGGCTGAAAGAGTGAGATCAGGAGGTTTTGGTGCAAAAAAACTCATCACATACCCTTTATTGCAAAACTGTTGATTTTTTTTCATCACCATCAAGAGCCCAGAAAGAGCAGCGCTGTTCAAGTAAGGAGGGAGGGGGAGAGGTGACAACTGTGTAAAAAAATCTTTCAATAATAATTAATAATAATGACAAAAGAAATAAAAACATCTCTAATAGACAAACACAATCACCTCAGTATAAGACGAGATTCTGTCACAGTCACAACAACCAGAGAAAAGTTGTTTTCTTTTTTCCTCTTTTTTTAATGAATTAAATAGTTTTTAAAAATATTTCACCATTTACTTATACTCATCTTTTTTCATTTATTGCGAAAAATAGGCAACTGGACTAATTGTGATGATGCAAGGTACTGTGTGTGTGTCTGCGTGTGTGTGCGTGTGTGTGTGTGTGTGTGTGTGTGTGACAGAGAAATAGAGATTAAGTGGAGAGATAAAGTGGAACGTCTTGGAGCATTGGCACTGAGAGCAGCAGCAATGTGTGGCAATGCAGTACTCTCATTCAGCCACCAGGTGGCACAGTTCAGTCTGAACATTCCTCCAGGGCCAGAGCTATGGCGGCCCTCCCTCCCTCCCCACCCACCAACCACCACTGTATCAGAGGAAGTCAGGTTTTGCCAACAGCCTCTGATTTTTGGAATGATGCTTGTGTGTTTAAACTCTGTCCACGGTCGCTTATCTGCGTTGCAAGATCTCAGTTCTATGTACAAAGGTTTCAAATCCCTGAAGGACATCTACAAAGACAAGTGCAACCTCCATCCCATCACCATCCCCTTTCTGGAGAAGCTCAGGTTCCTCAAGGGTTCCTCTACAGAGAAAACAGGGGGGTGAGGTGGGATAGTACCAATCAGATCAGGTAAACGTGCCACAGTAGGACTCAACAGAATTGTTGGGAATAAAAGTCAGGACTGATGGCAGAGGACCAAGATTTAGGAATGTCAAAAGCTGGAGAAGAAGGGGTTATAACATCGTTACCTTCTTCAGAGGGGGCACCAAAATATCCTAACATAATTCTTTGTAACATAATGTCCAAAAGAGGTGATGTGACAGGAAAGAAACCAGCGAAATGCACCAATAAAATTACGTATACATCGTCCATTTGTCATATCCGTTCATGCTGATCTATCAGTCTCTCCATGCATTTCAAAAATAGACCAAGCATTCCTCCTGTGTGTTAAATTGATTGTATTTTTGTTTTTTTTGCTCATCCCGCACTTTTTCTGTCTGTCTCTGTCAGAGTGGCAACTGTCAGTGTGGTGCCCCCTGGAGGACTGGCTGCCCTCCAGTTTTCTGTGGTGGCCCCCAAGGTAGGAGCATGCAGCTCATGTGGGGGAAGGGGGATTTGTGGAAGAAATCAGGGTGTAAACGTTTAGTCTGGTGTGGGTGCTTCTTCCGTAGCACGGGGAGGGAGAGAAGGAGGGGCAACTGGGCTAGGAAGAGAGGAACAGGGGTCTATGCAGGGAGATCTAGAGCACAGACACATCCGCTCCTTCTTACTCAGAAAAACACCCACCCTTGTCTGTCTTTGAGGCCTCAGGCTATGTAAAGGTCATGGCAGACAGAGCTCTGGGTTGTCAGCACTGCGCTGGGGCTTCTCATTCACTGTTCTTTCATGTCACCGAAGAGATCAGCAGCTGTCAGTGGCCCATGACTGGATCCAAACTAGTTAAAACTGAGAATTAGGAGGAGAATAGATGGAAGGGACTGGCTGACATCTTCCCGGCAAAAGAGAAGAAGAATCTCTTTCAGTCGGAGCCTGACTTCTCCCTTTTACGGTATGAGCAGCATCCATCTACAAATGATCTGATTCTTTTTGGTAGATGTTCTGAAAGACACAGCTATTATGCCATGTTATCTCCATACGCTTGTCTTTACATTCCTTTTGGGAAAAATGATTTGGGCTTGTGTGGGACTTAAGCCTATTCAGATAAGCATTTTATGGATGTGTAGGATAGGGCATGAAAGAAGTCTTTCTCATCTACTCCAACTCTGTCTCCAGCTTCTCTCCATGCTGTTGTTATACAGGCTGCCACCAGGGGGTGATGTTTGGGCTAACTGTTGGGGAGACGAGGGGAGGAAGGCGTCTGATCAGAGATTGTGGCTACGAGTTGATCCAGGGGTGGTTGAGGCATTCGCCAGCCGAGGCCCTCTTCTCAGGCACCATCTCTAGCATGGGCAGAAGGAAGTGGGTGAAGTGGCCGGCGTCTTCATGCGCCCAGCCATACTTCTCCACCAGCACGTCAAACAGGGACCACGGCTTAAGCTTGGTGATGTGCCGCAGCTCACCTGCAAGGGGGTGATAAGGAGAAGAGTCAATGACAGCGAATGGGGAAGTGGGGAGAAAGTAGAGAAGCACAGTTTAAAGGGTTGGTTCACCCAAATTACATTAAAAAATATATTTTTTTTACTTAAAGAATATTTTCAACAAATCCCAAGAAAAAAACAGAACCAATGAATGGATCCTACTGACAAGTATTGTCCGTTTAGCCAAAGCCTGATATAGCTTATTGCTTTGTGCCATAGATATTCATTATTGTCCAAAAACTACTAAAAAACAATTAATGAGGCTCACCGTGATGCTGGCTGACAGTCATCATAATGAACATGGCCGCTGTGGTTCATTATGACCAAATTCCACATACACTGCTAGAAACCTACAATAGTCTAGCGGGCTGAAAATGGTCCCCAACAAATTAACTATTTACCCCTGTTTGAGTAACATTTTGCTAAAAAATTCATCAGTAGGAACAAATGGGTTTAGGGCTGAGTGCCACAGACAGGGTCGGAAAGTCAGAAAGTACTGACAGACAGACTAACAATTTGTTGGTTTTGTTTTGTTTTTCAGGGTATTTGTTGGAAAAAGAAAAATCTAGAATAAAACCAGCCTCAACATTTAACTCTAGTGATATCTAGGCATGCAGATAGTTTTAGTTTTACTATTCGCTATCCATTAGCTATCCATGAGATTTCTGCCTCCACCCAGTACAGTAAAGTTGAACAAAACTGAATCTATGCTGCTTCCAGCATTCTTTTAATTTGAAGCTAGTAAGCTAGTATTGATACTAAATACATGACTTCTTCAGTAGTGTCTATACTTATACGAGGTATCGATACGGCAACCCCTAATCTAGAGTAACTGGGACATTGTTTTTTTTTTGAAAGTTGCTATCGAATGATCAAATGTCATTTTCAGTGCTTTGTGCATACAAACAAACAATTCATTAAAATATCTCAAAATCTCTCCAAGACTATCTGCACAGCTAGAGTAGTTAGAGTTTGGGGGGGTTATTTGAGTGAACTGACCCTTTAAACAGATGCCATATCAGCCCATGATTCTGCAGGCTCCAGCCAAACACTACAGCAGCTGATTTCACTGATTAGCTCACCCTCTCAGTTTGAACGTGTGTTAATCAGTGAGGTGCTGTGGATGGAGTGAAAACCTGTAGAGTCTTGTGGCAGTCATTTGGCAAGAGGTGGATAGAAAGAGAAGTGGCGATGAGATGGAAACGGACAAGGAGAGGAAGGTGTCCATTATTAAAGAGAGGAGGAAAATGATTGGCTGGGAGCACAAGACAGACAGAGAAGTTGGAGAGAATTATTAATGACCAAAGGTCCGGCTCAAACCATGGCTGCCATGGTAACCTCTCCTTCCTATACACTGATTTGACAGCACAAGATAGGGAGAATGAAAGACCGCAACATAAACCTTTATAGCTTTTTATAATCTTTAGGTCTGCATCCTTGAGTTTGTTTATGTTTTTGTCCCAATCAATGTATTTACTTTCCCACGTTCAATACAGATCAGTGTGCATGAAGGAAACAAAGTAACAAGGCCACTCGATTGCACTGCACGGCCGAAGCATGGTAGTCTGGAGAAGCCCGGAGAGACAGAGCGAGAAAGTCGGACCTGATTAACAGAGCGCTAAGAGATAAAAGGGAGAACATTGAGACATCAAGTGCAGGCTCAGACCTCAGATAGAGACAACATCAAAGGCGGACTATTCAGGTCTCATGACACATTATGAAGAATATATGAGCAGAAAGGGAAGGAGATCGAGAGAAAGAAAAAAGAGAATAAGTAAGAGAGTGCAAGGGTTATCAGCTGTACCAAACACCGGTCCATACACTTACCAGGCTCAAAGATGAGCAGGATCAGTGAGGTCTATGACACACTTAAGGCCTTAGATGAACTTAAGTAAAGCTTTGCTCTTCTGTGTGTAGGCTGTGATTATGACTTTACTCTAGGGATTAATTACTTCTAGGTTTAATTGGTGGTTTTGGCTATTATGTCAGTAAGTCTATATTAAGATAATACATTTTCTGATGCTTCAGAAAAATTACTTTCATCTTTTGCCTCTTATTTTTGTGAATTTAATTGACCTTTTGGCTACAAACCAGTACCAGATTAAAACAATCACAACAAAGTATTTTAATGTAATTTAGTAGGGATGGGCGATAAAGATTAAATCAATATTACAATATTAAGAATAGTGTTCCAATCCCACAGCATGGAAATCCTAGGCAAATTATATTAATGCAAAGGAAAGCAATGAACACTATACCACTGCTATATTTTACATCAGAAAAAAATTCTAAATGTCTAAAACAAAACCTTCAATAACTAATTTTGTTAGTTTTTTTTACTTTACTTCAGGAAAGTAAAGACTTCACCCTAAGCTGCGTGTGCTTTTATTTTAGTGTGTTTTTATTGACAAAAACTCTTGTTATTGC